TTTGTGATATTGAACCTTTGTCTGGACTAAAAAGCTTTAGAGTAGAGCATGATTTACTCTCTGGGTGCTTCTGGTTTTTCTAAACTCAGAAATCTTCCTTCAATTGGTCCGACTATTGCTGCAAAGATCCAGTTTCTCTCGGTTTTCCTTGTAGATATAACGTGACCTTAGCAGCAAGCTTTATTGCTAAACATTAGGACTTAAATTAAAAGTCATGATGTAGTATGGTTGGATATTCAACACCTGAACAGTTCAAATAAAAACGTGAACATAAAGAGCAACAAGTTTTATATTTTGTGCTTGGGAACAAAAAGGTTATTCTGTCTTTCACTGTAGATCTGGGTGAGTTCAGGTGGGTAGCTATTCTGTAGCCGTTTTATAAGTTCTCATTTGAATTCTATGTTCTCTTCTTCTTCCCGTTTTGGAGAGTGACTAAGAGAAAGATGCGTCTGTGTCATGTTTATACCACAGCGCAACAGAAAATCTTGAACTACAAATTAAAGGTTCCTAGATGATCAATCTAAGAAAGCGAAACATGAATTACCAAAAAGATTAACTTAGATTTATTTTATTGGAATCATTATGAGCGCAGGATTCCTAAACAGTATGGGAGATATGGAATTTGATTGACATCTGAATAAGGATAAGAAAATAAAATAACATGCAAAAATATGTTTCCAAATTTTATTCCCTATTCCTTTTATCTATTTTTTTCCTTCCTTCTTTCCTTCCCTACATTTTGCCTTGTGATCCTTCCTTCATTCCTTCCATTCATCCATCCTTACCACCTGTTTCTATTCTTTCCCAAATTGTGTCCTTCCTTCCGTCCGTCCGTCCGTCCGTCCTTCCTTCCTTCCTTCCTTCCGTCCTTCCTTCCTTCCTTCCTTCCTTCCTTCCTTCCTTCCTTCCTTCCTTCCTTCCTTCCTTCCACCATCCATCCATCTATCCATCCATCCACCCACCCATCCATCCATCTACCCACCCACCCATCCATCCATCCATCCATCTCCATCTTCCTTCCATGCTTTCTTGTTTTCTGCCTCCATTTCTTCCTTGTGTCCAACTTGCCTTTCAAAATTGTGGCCTTCCTTCCTTATGTCCCTCCTTCTTTGTCTCATTCCTTCCTTTCTTTCCTTGTGTACTGCTTCCCTTCCTAATTTAAGGCGTCAGCAGGTTTCCAGAATTTGAGCGTTTTACACTTTAGTCTTTTGACAAGTTCACAAAAATACTAATTATTTTGTTGTAAACAAACATGGTCTTACCTTGAGCAGACAACTGGCTGTTGGTATTTGGGAATGAGACATAATGTGGGAAAAATACACAGTTTGAGCTGAGATGTGACTCTAAGAAGAGGATGATGAGCTTTTTATTTGCGCCAAGGATTAAAAAAACTGATCCACCTCTGGCAGTGACTGCAAGCAATGTGAAACCATCAGCTGATGCAGCTGACGCCCTCCGTGAAGAAGCAATTTTCAAACTCCCTCTACCTCTGAGAGACCTTTGGGGCGGAGTGTCATTTTACCCAAGTTGTCACCCTCAAATGTGCCAGATTCACGACTAAGCAGTGAGTACGGTGAAGTCAGACGCTGCGGTTGGAGTGCAACAAAACACATCTTCATAACTGACAGACTTCCTGGCGTCTCTGGAAGAAATGAAATGAGGTGACACGGGTTGCCAGTTTCCTCCCTGCAGCTGTCTTAATGCTGGATCCCAGCTCATGTTGCACCTCTTGCCCACTCACAGGGTAGATGATTTAATGAAGTCAAGTATACCGTGCTTTGCAGAAGTATATCTTTTTGGCTTTTTCCACATTGTGTCATGTTTCAGTCACAAATTGCAATGTATTTTGTTGGGATCGACTGTGATAGACAAACACAAAGTTGATTCTGAGTTAGATTTACGTCTGGACTTTATTAGAGCCATTCTAACACATGGATGTACATTGATCTAAACCATGCCAGTGTAGCTGTATGTTTTAGAGTTGTTTTTCAACCTCTAACAGGTTTTCATCCCAGATTGTCCTGTATTTAACTCCATCCTTCTTCAATCCAACTCTGACTGGCTTTCCTGTCCCTGCTGAAGAAAAGCATCCCCACAGCATGATGCTGCCGCCACCATGGGAATGATGTGTTCAGGATGATGTGCAGTTTTAATTTTGGTCTCACTTGACCTACTTCCAGAAATTGGTCCCACACATGGTTTGTGGTTCAAAATGATGCCCTATTTTGCGTTGGTTTATGTCATAAAATCCCAGTAAAAATAATTTGAAGTTTGTGGTTGTAATGGAACAAAATGTGAGAAAGTTTAGGTGGTATTGGTACTTTTGCAAAGCTCTGTAATAACATCGCTGCAGGATTTCAGGGGCTAAAGTCGCTGGCTAGAAAATGATTGCTGGCGTGGAAAAATACTTGCTGATGGGAGAGATTTCATTTCATCCCTAATCCTATGATAATTCTGAAATCCTTCAGTGGGGATCACAGGTCATGGCTGTCTTATTCTGGAGTTTGAGCGAATCTGTATTTTGCACAAAGAGGTCTCAGATTGCAGGTTGGAACCACACAATTTTACGCCTGAATGAGAAGCACAAATCAACTCAGAGGTAAATTGCATCATTTTCCATGTGAGGTTCATAAAACTAGCCTTCATTCCCTCACAAATGGCTGGCTTGCAGTGATTCCCCACATCGCTGGTGTTTACCTCTGTTTCCAATGATGGAGTGCCGTCCCTCCAGTTTGGGTCTGCCTCTGTTTCACATAGAATATAATTTTACCCAACCAAAGTGGCCAGTGGACTCGGTGACTCACCTCATGTTGCTCAGGGCAGCACACAGTCTTGTGTGGAACTGCAGCGGCAGGAAAATGACAGACCGACACGCTCGATTTACGGCCAAAGGACAGGGTGGCTTTCAATTTTTAAGGCAGTCGTTCACTGGGACGTCTCACACACACACACCCAGCCCAGACTCCCCTGATTATACACACACACACAAAGCCAGAGAGCAGTAAAAGTGGCTAGACATGGACTGCAGAGACAGATAGTCTTGTCAAAACCTCTTGATTTAAACAGTCTAGCTGCAAGGGTAAGGGGTAAGTAAGGGTAAGAGAACACGCGGTCATTATTATATTGATTTGTCCGCAGATGGTGAAATGATTCGAGGAAATGAAGGAGATCGATGTGCTAAGCGCCAAGGGAGAAAATAAGAAGCCGATATGTGATTAGTGGGGCCAGGGGAGGAAACATTTAATTGTAGCATGTGAGACAGTCAGCAGTTTTTATTTTTTTAATACGTTTGTATGAATTCTTTATTGGAGAAAGGTCGTTATTATGCACATATCATCCACATGATTATAATGTGATGTGAAAAAGGGTTTGCCCTTCCTCAGTAAATACAGCAAGCACTTTTCAAACTATTTATTAAAGGAAAGAAGCTATCCAAACCAGCCTGGTCCTATGTGGAAAAGAGATTGTTCTCCTTGTTTAGTTTCCCAAAAAACATTCAAGTCTGATTACTGCCTGGTCTGTAAAATCAAGAAATAATTTCAATAGAAGCTGTCTGACAACAAGTTGGCTAAAAGATTTCAAACGGTAGGGCATTATATCACAATCAAAGGAAATTCAAGAGATGAGAAATAAAGTCTGGAAATGGTTACTAAGCTATTTCTAAGGCTTTAGGACTCTGGTGAACCACAATAAGAGCCAGTATCTACAAATCTACAAATTACTCCAAGACCACATTGACAATTCCAGGAGATCACAGAAAAACCGAGACATTGAGGAAAATATTCCGTGCACTGGTGAGACAAAAGTGCTGGGGCCAAGGATGGCATAAGCAGTTGTAAGTTTAGGGCATTTACTTTTTCACACTGGACCAGGTGGGTTTGGATAGCTTTTTTATCTGAATAAAGCCATCATTTAGTATTTACTCAAATTATCTTAAAATCTGTTTGATTAAAAACATTTAAACTAACAAAAGAAATTTGTGAGGGTAAATGCTTTTTCGTGTCACTTGGGATCATTCAGTCTCATGGCTTGTTGTTGTTTCTGCTGAAATAAGGGAGGCGCTCTCTTCCGCCTCACTCTGCCAGGGATTGGCTGGCGGCCACCGTCTGTGCCTAGGGTGGAGGGACTAAATATAGCACACTTCATGAAACTTGGGAGAGAAGGAAGGGTATAAATATAGAGTATCCTGGCACTGCAGAGAAATTTTAGGGAACTCTCCCTGAGATGGGTCTCTTTAGCAACTTTGTGATGTTGTTTAGATTGGCCAAAAACAGATGGAGTTCCTTCACTGTGAGTCATCGTGTTTTGCAGAAAGTAGCCCAGTTTAGCTTTTACTAACCCATCTTGACATTGCTTTTAATGCAATCCAAACTAAAATAGCAGCCGCTCGCTGACTCTGAAATGGATCATTTTAAAACAGAAGGCCTTCACAGAAGAGCTAACACAGTCACTTTTGCATGCAGTAATTACGCTCAACAACACCTCAATTTGAACATCAACATGATGTTTAGTAGCTTGTCACTCTTTTGTAATATCTGTGTCAGACAGTATGATAACAGTTATAAGGCATGTTGTAAGACCAACAATGGCAGCATCAGATAAGGGAGCGGTTCTGTTAACCATGACAATTAATAATAACTTAGACTTTATTGATCTCACAATGGAGAAATTATCCTGTGCATTTAACCCATCCCTTAGGGAGCAGTGGGCTGCCATAGTGTGTTCAAGGGTCATGCTCAGGGAGCCAGAGTGGCAGGCTGTGGGATTTGAACCAGGGTACTAATAGGACAGAAATGCCCTGTTCTCTAACCACTGGGCCACCACTCCCTCCACACAAAGACAGCACAGGAACCTCACATTGGATCCTGATGGTAGGATAACCTCAAGTGAAAAATCTATTGTAATAAAAAGTTAAAACAAAAATGTAAACAAATCACTGAAAAATATATAGAATAGATTTACCTTTTATTGTCCCTTAGTGGCATAAGTCAAGTAAAATGTGACTCCGGTAGGACTCAAACCCACAACCTTTGAATCACTTTGCTTAGCCTAGAAGTCCAACGCGCTATCCATTGCGCCACGAAGCCACCTCTGCATAGGAATGATGACTAGTAATGCTGCTACAATAATCATATAATTCTTGTTGCATTTTTTTGCTCTTATTTCAGATTTATTTCAGATCATTTTTGATGCACCAATCAATTTTTCCAGTTTTTCCTCTTTCTAACTGGTAATCAGCAGGCTGAATACTGAACCATCGATTTTTCATTAAATGCGCCAAAACAAAAAAAATACAGCCCACTTATTTATAGCCCAAGAACAAATTAACAAACTGGATTTTTCTTTATACTTTGTGAAAAGTTTAGGGAGCCATGCTTTGATGTATGAATGAGGATGAAGTTGTAACTCCTTCATTTTCTGGGGAATTTAAAACTACTACCTGAATTAAGTAACCCGCAACACGTTTTTGTTTATTTTATGGTCTCGGTTCATTGTACATCATCATTTAAGCTAGAAACGAGTTTACACAAAGAATTTTATGTGTTAAAGATCATCAGAAATGGCCAAAGTTGGAAATTGTGGATTATGTCAAAGAAAAGAAGTGTTGTTTTTAAGTAGGGAAGAAAAGCTCAGCAGTTTTGCATTTTATTTGGCCATCTTACACAGCTGACTGACAATTTTTAGTAGCAACATGGAGAAGGGCAGTCATGCTTTATACTTGAAACTCATTATGGCCTCTAAAATCTCCATGCCGTGAATGTCACTACTTGAAGACACCATATATATATAATGCACATATATGCCACTGCTACAAAAATTATGCAAATACTTTGCAAATATCTTAGCAATGACCTGGTAATGTTGGTTTTTCTTATGCTAATCTGTGCAGCCACTTTGACTTCAGTGATGACGGTTACCTTAACTCAGCATGCTGAAAGCTAGAAGAGCCTAGCACATTATAAACACAAAATACTTAATGTATGATAGGATGTTTCACAAAACATGTTTCATTTTTTTTCTCATTTAAAATCCATTTTTAGATGCACCAAAATCTTGTTCCACCTTATTTCACTATGCAGTGCTTTGAAACCTTGAATATATTTTTACGTTTTTACAATGCTTTCAACAATTAGCAGTGTTGGAAGCATGCAGGCACTAACAGAGTCTGATCCTCAAACATTATTCAGTGCTTCAAGGATCTGACCAGAGCATTCTCAGATGGCTTATTGTTTGTGAGACTGACAGATGGCTTCGTGACACCTTGTGATTGTGTTTTAACCCTCTAAGCCGGAGCTCTAACCCCATCAACGCTGCTGAAGACAAATGTTTAAACTTTAAATTCTTGCTGCAGGTGACAATTTTGTGCATACCTGTGTGCTCTTATTTCCTGCGCCATGTAGTCACATAGTCACATGGCCTGAAAAATGCATTATTGGATGTCTGTTCCCCGCTGTGCTACAGTGAAAAGCTCACATTCGTGTGAGTGCCTGTAGCAGTAGGTGTCCTCGATGTCTTGGTATCTACTGTCCCCTTTAATCTCTCTTCCTGTCTGAATCTGTGAGCCTGTTTGACCATACTGTAAATATTTGTCTGTTTTCTAGGTCACTCTGTGCCAGAACCCTTAAGCAGACACTCATATCAAACATGTGTTACATATTGTAGTGTACCTGATAAATCTTATCTATTTTCCTTTGTATACCCGCTTTATTGTTTGTTCCACATCTAACCAGCTTGTTTCTTTTCTTTCCCCCTCAGAGTGCTGATGTCAGTGATTCATCCTTGGAGAGACAATCTGGTACCACTCAAAGCGCTTCAATGCTCCACCTTTTCCTCCTGTGACAGCCAATCGCATGGAGAGAGCTGCTGGATTGGACGCAACTCTGAAGCACTTTGATATAAACTGATGGAAAACTTTTTTTTTTCTCCTCGCTTTCATCCGGTTGGTTGAGCAAACCAACAGGGATGTGTGCCAAATGATTATATATATATATATATATATATATATTCTTATAAAGCTATTTGCTGCTCTCATTTACTGAACTGAAAGCCAATTGGAGGACGGTACAGAATGGAGACTAGTGTGTGGATCTTTTTTGTTTGTTTGTTTCTTTTTGTTCTAAACCTCTAATCACAAAAGCATACAAATGTGGCTAACTGGTATGTAAAAAAAGAAAAAGAAAAAAAAGAAAGAAAATATATAGAAATACACAGCTGCTCAAAAAGTGCCTCATTTTTAGATTGTTGCCATTTTAAATGCTAAAGCTTTGGGTTATGTTGTTTCATTCTTGAGTTGAGATAATTACAGTATAATTACAGCAGAAGGTGCCGATAAAGATCAGAAGGATTTTATTTAATCACCAATGCGTTCATGTCATATAGGATCAATGTAAGAGGTTGGAAAGTTCTGTGGCTGTGTAGATTACAGAGGATCACTTGAGCGTTAACAACAGATCTAATAGACAAAATATTTACAGTCTCTATAATTAGAAACAGCCCTGTTTTCAGCAAATACGCCATGTAAAATCCCACACATAGACAGCAGTACATCTGCTTTGGTTTAGTGAAATGAATATACAAATCGCAAATTAATGTATTCTCAACTTGAATAAATGTAATTTTATGGGGTTTTTTGTACTGAGGTTTTAGTAGTTTTAATTAAAAGAAAGTTTCTGGGTACTTCAACCACTGTCAGTTCTGATGGTTTTTGGAACAAAGGCTGTAAAGAAAGCATCACATTTGTCAAATGACCGCTTCAATACAGCAAACAGTTGATTCCAAATATTTATAGAATATAATATATATAATATATTATAATAACTTTTCCGGCCTATATGTTACATAAGTGATGTAAAAATCTTCCTATATTATGCGAACTAAATACTTGTTTATGAGCGGTGGATAAATAGACTTTTAGAAAGTATATTTTCTTAACTGTATGTCATATAAACTTCTTAACCCTCCTGCAGCCATGGCTAAGTGCTAGTACAGAGCAAGGCATATGTCACAAGAGGCGCCAGAAACAACTGCACGCGGGGTTGCTCTGACCCCCGCAGGACCAAAAATTTAGGGCAGTGGTCGGAAATGTGATGTGGAGGGCTCCCTGTAGCCCGGCGTGTAGGAAAACCACGAAAGAGAGAGGGGAAAACTTGAGTAGCGCACATGCAACTCCTCCAGGACTGCGGGAGGGTTAGACATTTCTAAGTAAAATGTGCTTAGGTCAGAGCATTTTATGAAATAAATCACATCTATTTCCTAAAGAATATAATTCAAGTACATACTAACGATGATAACTAATCACCTTTAATTAAGAAACTCAGGGCTTTATTTAATTTTTATTGAGATATTAATGGTTTTAGGTGAGAAAAAGATTCTGGAATGACGCATCAAGGCACGACAGCTGACGTACCAACTGGCCCCTTAAAAATGGCAAGCCATGTGCAAATGACACTTTTACAACCCGTATAGAGGAAAATGATGTAGAAATCTCAGTTTAAAGCTGACAAAAATCCTGCCAGAACACCATAAGATATGTCAGCACCTCCTTCTGAGCACTGCTTCATCTAGTCAGCATTGGTTTTACATCACATAGATATGCAATGAATACCAGTTTATGAGGGGTGTCAGTAGTGGCCATCATTGAATAGAAAGAAGGGTCTTTTTCCACACAATCCCACAATACGATTTTTTAGCACTGTTGGGTTGCCATACTTTCCCACGCATTGGACAAGCAGCGAAGTGCACCAAGATGACACAAATTACAGGACTTTATTGATAGTTGTAATAGCTGAAATGAGGAGTGGCCAGACCCTGCTGTGAGGTAAATTAAGAGGTGCATTACTTGGCACACACACATGCTGCCAATGTGATTTGTCTGCCCAAGTCCTTGAAACTGAACTTCTTAGAGTTCTGTATAACTTTGTAACTTGGAATTTATCAACAAACCCTATTATTTTGGTTAGGTGTGTGGACATGAAGAAGTTAATTGTAGTCACAATTCAACAAAGTAAGAAAGTTGCCACAACAGCTCCAATATGACATGAACGCAGAGTCCTTTTGTGAAAAAAAAAGTGTTAAAAAAGATCTTTTTTTAAAGATGTAAACAGTACTAGCAACCTGCTAGCCTTCTTTCCTACTGTGAGAAATAGTGGCAAAGCTGCCATTAGCTCTGCTAATTGACGTGTTGCATTGAAATGTTTTTTCTTTTTCTCCTAACTTCTATTTTTTGTTTGTTTACTTTCATTTTTGCTGTTCAGTGAGCCATAAACAAAAGTGTTCAAATCCACAGGCTTGAAAGAAAATGGCATTTGTAGCAGGGAGTAGAGCAGCTTGTTTGCTAGCTTAAAAGCTAGCTGGCTCAGATTAGCATATTAGGCAGCCAGAACGTAAATTCACTGTCCTGCTGACCACACCCAGGGTTAGACCCCCTGATATAGAGCCACACAATCCCATTAGTGCTGTTAGCTTCGGACACTTAATCCCGTTCGTCTCAGGATGCTAAATAACAAACAGTACACAGAGCCGAGGACAGTGTCGCTATCAATAGCCATGATTATGGTAGATTTGTATGGTCAGCAAATATTGATTTTAGCACCTGTAAATGGACAAGTTCTCATTTTGCTTTCACATATATCAGACAGCTAATTTGTTCTCAGTTGTTAATGTATAGCACCAAACTTTTAGGACGTTTCATTTCTTGGTTCGTCTTTTTAACTGATCAAAGTGAAAGTTCTTTAGCCTCTAAATCCTCCTTAACGACTCTTTGTTTCTATCGCCTTCCTTTCCTGTCTTTGGCTCTTTAATCTTCACTATGCATAAGCACTTAAGTGCCTGTCCTATTTCTTAATCTGTCTGTCTTTTTCTGTCTCTGCCCCATTTTAGCACATAGCACTAACACGTGTCATAGCAGAATATAACATGTCTATTTTTGTGTCTATTTCTTGGCTGTACAGTTTTGGCAGTGTAACTCGCTTCAGTTAGTTTGTTTGTTGTAAAAGTCATCTATCAGCAGTCATGGTCTTGATCTCAGGACCTGAGGACTTGATTATCACATTGTCATCAGTGCCAAAACACAGCAACAACAAAACTG